CTTATAATGTAAGACAATTAAAAGATCACTATCTATTATAAATGCAATGACCGTACTTACCACGTCCATTCTGATTTCATCAATCTTCTCTGGTTCCGATACACCAAATTTCTCAGAATAGTACCTATCCTTATATCCAGGCTCCCCCAACTTCACCTGAGAGAATTAAAAATTGGGAATTGTTGAACATAGAGCCACTACCTACGTACATTTTCACAGATAGGTCCATATAAAAGGAATTTTTTTTCTGTCATTATCAGATAACATGTGACGATATTTCAAAAACAAAATAAGAAATAGAGATTTCATAATCTGAACCTAACGACAATCATAAGAATCTAAGAAACTGTCCAAATTTAGATAAACTCGCAGTGAAACTAAGACATGTCAAACTACATTCCGCTATCTGCACTAAATAAAAGAAACTTTTAAAGTCAACACAGATTTGTGAAAAAAATAATTTATTCCCAATGCTCACCTTTGAAGATGCAATTTACTGCAGTACAAAGCTTGATATTACAACTCAAATGTCTAATCATTTATTGAATTTAACACATTGATTTTCAACGATTCTGATACAACAGAAGTTACATATTGTGGTATTTATTCTGTTAGTGTTTTAAAATACATTTTGGTTAAACTGATTAAATAATGTGTAATCCATGATTTGCACAATAACAAGCAATCACGATTCACGAAAGTTATAGTTTTACTGACTCAAGTGATGATGTGCAATAGAAATGTCAACTTTGAGATAATATTCAGATGAGAGTAGGCACCTTATCGCCGGCTGAAGGTCGGGGCTCTAGACTAGTCTCTCCTCTTGCTTTCAGTTTCATCTCTTCATTGTTCTCATATGACTGAAAAAATAGGAGGAGAAAAAGGCCACAGTATTACCTATTAAGTTATGACAAAGGCTCTACATATTAAGAGAAGCAATGACACCTTTGTGAAGCATTTAATGTGCATATGTAATATTTCACTCATAGAAACATAAGAAAATCTAAGAAAGTACCAAGCAGAATGAAACAAGGGAACATACATCCCAACAGAAAAGTAACAGCCACAATAGATAAACTTTTGTTACTTACAAATCTTTTGACATAACAAACATAAGAGAAAACTTTTCCTCCCACCTTCCAACACTCACGGGCCCACAAACCCGCAAAACACACAAAAACCCTTCCACTTCAAACGGCACAAAAAAGGTACGCACGAAAATAGTGGGTTCTAGAAGAGAGGTATCCAATTTGTCAAGTCACCTTGAACAGTTAACCTATACTACACAGGTTTCACTTTATTTCAAAAATCAGATAGGCCTTAATGTAAGTTTGTAGTTCTAAATGTACAGGTAAGGTAAAACTGCACCTAAAGGCTAAATGTACAAATGGCGACACACATTATTGCATGTGGACCAAATCCTCAACATATTCCTACTGAAATAGAGTAACTTTATCTTGCAATATATTAATTATAAGTTTTATCTGACTTGCCACACAAACAAAATAAATAGACTAAAAGTTCAAACATATGCATAGCATTAAATTATACCCTACGGCCCACTCTAGTACCACTGTATTTAGTAGCTTATCAAACAAATGGTTATTATAAAAGCTCTTATGGAACAGAGTTATACATCCATCAAATATTCAACAGCAGGAAGTGACAGTGGTTGTAATATCAAGATTCTTTTTCACTTCTGTTATAACACAGACAATATTAACCAGCATGATAAGAGTAAGAATAAATGAACAGCGGACCTGCTGTATGCGAGTTCTCTTTCTAAATATCTGATCTTCATGCACTGCAACTGCCTGAACAAAGTGTTCAACACGCTCCAAGAATACCTGAAATATTGACAGATCTTGAAACTATTTAAACCTAATATTAGAATAATATATGAATAAAAATGTGCAGAGCTATTTTCCTGTATCTATGCAGAATCATTTCTTACTTCGACACCATCATATATCACATTATAAAATGACGAGAAGTTTCATCATAACTACCTCATAATATTGCAAAACTTCATAAAAGAAATATGTAATAATCATTTTCTGAACATATGATTCTACTATCCAAATTCTTGACATCAACAAGACAACATAAAGAGAAGTTATTGTGGAAAGAACATATAAAGTTTATTAAACCATAAGAAACCTCTTAGGACTAAATTCTCAAAAATAATGATCTACCAATTTGATTGTCGGACCAACCATTTCCAAATTCAATTCC